GTTACATTCCACTGTCAATCATGGAATCTGCAGGTGTGGTCACCTGTGCAGAAAACTGAGAATAATTGCTTGCCTGCTGTAAAAATAAATGAAAAATCTTCTGTTCAAAGTGTTTAACCAAATTATTTGACAGCAAAGCCCAATCTCTGAATCCTGAATGTCAATGCAGTCATCAGGTTCTTTAGATGTAGCAGCTTTCTGTTGCCATTTCATTTCATCATTTCACTGTTTTGCTTGCACACGCAAGTTTCCATCGTCTACTTCACTCTGTGTAAAATACCTTAGAGGTGGTGATCTTTTCTACATCGAGGGCGTAGTCAAGCAGCTGGGTGGAAGGAAAATTCTGCTTCACAAAGTCCTTCAGAATCTGCACTCGCATGTCTGGGTTGTTGATCTGAAACCGAATCAAACTCCATTTAAAACAATGGCTGCGTGTCCATCTTAATCAAACTCAGAAGAAGCAGTTAACAAACACGAGTCAAAACACTGATAAATAAGTGGCTCGTTTACAGATTAGAGCACTGTTTATTGTATAAAGTCGAGTGTTGCTTACAGATTTGACCCTGTGGCCGATACCCATAATCAGCTTGCCATCCTTCTTCATCTTGTTGACAAACTCCATGGGGATCATGCCGCTGTCAAATGCCTTGCTGAACTGCTTTGCAGCCGCATCCAGAGCACCTCCGAAACGGTCCCCCTGATTTTTAGGAATAAATTGCGTTTCAATTCCGTAACATTATGGCCAGTTTGTCAGAAATCATGCTGTCAGCTGAGCAGCTCATAAAATACAAGATAGATTTGGGGGGAAAAAACAAACAAAAAAAAAAAAAAACTACAACAACAAAAGATGACATGATCAATGACTGATCAATATGTGAGCAGTACTGACGATGGTGAGCAGGCCGGATGTGAGGCTTGAGATAAGGTCTTTGCCCGCACGAGCACAGACAATCGTGTTGTGAGCGCCGGAGACTGCAGGCCCATGATCAGCAGTCACCATCAGGCACATTTCAATGAACTGGCAGGCGTAGCGTGGTAACCTAAACAGAGAGAAAAAAAAAAAAGTGTGAAATTGATTCTACATTCTTAACAACTAACAGTGTTCTTGACATCATACTGACCTGCGCTGGAACCAGAGCAATCCTAGCACTCCTCCTATACCAATCTCTTCTCTGAAGACCTCAGTGATGGACATGCCAGCATAGATGAGCTCCTGGCCTCGCTCGTCACAGATGCTTGTCATGAATGAGGCTGGTTTACGAATCAGGCCCAACTCCTGGAAAAAAACCCCCCCCAACAAATTCCACAAATAACCATTATATCCAGTATTTCTTGGCTTCTAAGTTTACAAAGGACTATTATAAAGTTCTTACCCGGGCCCAGGAATAATCCATAGGTACTGTTGGGGGAGGAACCTCCTGGGCAGGAACGATGGTACCATTGGCCACTAATTCATCATACACAGTCCTGTTTCACCACAAACACAATAACAGTGAGGAACCCGGAAACCTGTCAGTTCCAAACTTTAGGAAATTAGCATGAAAAGTATTTCTCACTTGATGACGTCACCCAGCTCATCAAAGCTCTTTGGTACATAAGCTCCAGCATCCCTCAGAGCCTGGTTCTTGGCCACCGCTGTCTCTGAAGCCTGGTTGGCACAAGCTCCTGCATGGCCAAACTGAACCTGAAGATGGCAGTAAAACATATTACTGGAAAAAATTTCTTCCAGGTAAGAGCAGCAATAAAATCCAAAGCCAGGATTTCCAGAGCTAACTGACCTCTGAGGCAAACATGGTGGCGCAGGTTCCAATGCACCAGCAGACCACAGGTTTTGTTATCCTGCCTTCCTTGATGCCCTGGCAGATCTTGTACTCCTCTGTTCCACCAATCTGTGTCAAAGTAAAGGACATATTAAAAACAAGATTCTATTTGGTACAAGTAGCACAGACCAAATAATTTAGATATTAAATGCTTCCCACCTCTCCCAATACAACAATCATCTTAATTCCTGGAGTGTCCTGATAACGTAGGACGTGGTCCATGAAGGTCGAGCCTGGATATCTGGACAGAGAGAAACGTAAGCACTCATTTCTGGAACTAGAATCTTTTGTCAAGTATTGATTTATGCATTTTTTTAATGAAAAAAATTCTCTCAAGTAAATGATCTGCAATTAAGTTTTTGTACCTGTCTCCTCCGATGGCCACCCCTTCATAGACGCCATCTGTAGTGCGTGAGATGATGTTGTTCAGCTCGTTGGACATGCCCCCAGAGCGCGACACATACGCCACACTTCCGGGACGGTAAAGTTTAGAAGCCAGGATGTTGTCCAGCATACCGCCTGTGTTGCCAATCTTAAAACAGCCTGGCTTGATGCCACCAACCTATTTAACAATAATAATCTGCATTTAATCCACCATGTTTACCAGAAAGATTTAATAGCCCTTTTAGCTGGGCTATTAAATACCACACTACAGTCTATAAACTTATAGCCGTGTTAATGATGAGTGTAAATGTTTTTAACAAAGAGGTTCAGGGGGATGAAGCTCTGTACCGTGGCAGGGCCAATTATGGTGACTCCTTTCTCGTCGGCCATCTTTATCACCTTCCTAGTCAGAGCTTCGGGGATGCCCTCGGCTATGATGGCGATGGTGTGAATCTGAAAACACAATTAAATAAACTGGGTCCACTCTGAAAAATTTTAGTGGAAGCTCAACACACTGTACAGTCGCTCTTCATACCTGTGGGTACTGCATGGCTTCCACTGTGCTGTCAAAGGCAGAGCGCAGTGAAGCAAAGCTGATCAGGACGTCTACCTCGGGGTGCTTCTTCATGGCATCGGCCATGTTCTTATAGACCGGCAGCAGGATCTCTTTGTGGCCCCAGTAAAACTTCTGCTTGTGATCTCCGCTGAGCAACAAACAGAAACATATCAGCAAAATATGAAGAACTTTTCGAAACACAGCAGTAAAATCAGAATCAGAAACTTTATTGTCATTGTCACAGGAACAACGAAATTAAGAATGGTCCCCGATCATTGCATCATCCCTAGCAATATCAAAATATAAATAAAACAATAAAATTCAATAACACTCCCCAACTCCATTCAGTACAACTAATGAATACTTTGCAACTGCAAAATGAATTCTTGTCAGTTCCTTAAACCCTGTCAATTAGAGGTTTATCATTTTTGTTTGGGGCTTCCTATTGAAAACAGAAGTTTAACTCAAATTCAGCTCAATTGATAAGTCTGGTTTTTGGTTGCTGCATCACTGTGAATCACTTACTATAGGTGAGGAAAGGCGATGCCCATGCAGCACAGATCAGACAATGGCAACGGACAACACTGACAAACTCGGACAGATCAGAAGGAAGAGCTGGGCTTAAAGTGGGTTGCAAAGTGGCTTACAGATACAGAGGAACATTGGGAAGACTTAAGCAGCTTAAGATGTTCTACAAGAATTTGCCACTTGGAAACATGGAAGGTTATAAGCCTTTATTGTATGTGTACACGACTTACAATCTGCCTAAACTGATAATACACTTTTAGAAAAAGGCTCAGTAATTTACAAATATGACAAAGATAAAAACAGAAACAACTAAACCCCAGCAAGAGTAGATTTAGAGATTTTGAGCAGAGAGAGAGAAAAAAATCATTTGATTTGTGCAGTTAACTCTATTTAGTATTCTACAGTCACACTCTTCTAATTTAATTCAGAGGGAAATAGCGCAACCTACGTGAAGGGGTAGACCATGGCTGCCACAGAGGGTTCTTCCCGGGAGCATACGTAGTCAAAGTCCAGCATGCCTTGCACGGCTCGTGTCTGCATGCCCCAAACAATGGTCTTGGTGTTTTTTCTGAAGAGAGTGGTTGCTTTAGCTGAGAGGAAGAAAAAAAAAATTACAGAGACAAGTCAGAAGTGGAAACTGAACTAAAACCCATTCACAGATGAAGAGGGAATTCTGGCTCAGGGAAACAGCAGGAATGGGGATGGTAAGAATTAGAATAAAGACAGGATTCACTGAGGATAGATGGACCAGGAAGAGAAAAATACCACCCCACACAGGATCTGCACGATTTATTTTGTCCGCTCTCTCCAAGCCACAGCATTAAAAACATTAATTTGCAATGTAACATCATTAAAAACTAGGACATTTGCATGAAAAGAATATGGACACCACATATGCAGCTGCCATTTTTTACCCCGGATAAGAAAACCAGCAACTTCACTTCCTCCATTGCTAGCAGTATACGGCCATCATTTTCAAAGTGAAGTATTAGGCAAAAGATTAGAGTGCTATCTGTGGTATGTTGCCACATGGAAATATAAAATACTGTCTGACAGATCCTTGACTGCCGATAAAGATCACATTTTTTGTAATGATTACATTACAAAGAAAGGTTCAGAGCATCTGAAAAATTTGAAAAACAAATTCTTGAAAGCAGAGATCACGTTAGTGCATGTGCTTTAAAACTCTTACTGTTTAGTAAAAATACATTCTCAAACTTATTCCAGTCCTTCCAAGTCTTTCTCTCTGCCTTCTGTCGTTACATCTGAGATGTGCAGAATATTTTAAATACAGAACTGATTCTTGCGCCTGCGTCTTGAACTGAAGAATTTCTACTAACAGTTATAGCTCAAGGTTTTTGCTTTTCGTTTTTTAAAATAATGATTACAAGGCAGTGTCAAACGAGTAAGCCATAAGAGTGTAAAGAAGATAAACGTTAGAGGGGAAAGCAGAGGGACAAAGGACGGAGAGGGCAGGAAAACAGGTTTTTCACACCCTTCCATACCTCCGCTGCAGCCTGAAGAGGCTTGAGCTTCTGTGACACCCACAGGACGGAAACACAAAATACAACAAAAAAAACAGGCACAAACACAAGAAGAGAACAAAAATTGAGTCTTTGCTGCAGGTTATTCACTCAACACACTTCACCGCATTTTTGCAACCATGTGTCGTTACTGAAAACACTGCGTTAGAAGCACAGCAGAGGAAGAGACCATGCAGTGCTCAGCTGCTATGGAGCATGCCTTTACTGTACTGCTGTAAAAGGCAATATGAACAGTTTAGTTAAGTAATCAAAACTTCATGTTTGCATGGCTGCTTTTGACTTCAACATTACTAATCCTAAAGAACACAAAATCCAGTGTGAAGAGGCCTTAGAAAAAAACAAAAAAAACAATATGCTTAAACTTAATTTATAGTTTATTACAAACCACTTATTCATTATAAAAAGTTAAAAAAAAAGAAAAAAGTATGCAGCATTCATAAGAATATGATGCCCTGATGTGATGTGAACATACGTCCTTCATATACACCAAGACTAGAAAGGTGAGCAGCAAACAAGGGGGAAAAAGTTCAAACCAGTGATGAATGTGTAGGAAGCCCAGAGCAGTGAGGCCATGGCACACCTATCGCTTACCTTTCCAATCGCCTGTGACCACATTCTTCAGAGGCCACAGTATAGAATGGAGCGAGTCTTAGAGAAACAAGCATGAAAAGGGCGGATGTAAGTTGGTGTGAAATAAGAAAAGGAGGAAAAGAGAAGGAAGATACATTGCAGAATATTGGTGGTGGCATTTCAGCAGGAAAGGAGAAGCCAGGATGAGAGGGGAAAAAAAAAAAAAAAAAAAAAAAAGCAGAGGTGCATGAGTAAATATGGGATCTTGCTGATAGGAAGCAGTTCAGCATGAATGACTGTTCGTTACCTGTTGGAAGCCCTGCTTTACACTTCTTGGCCGGGCAGGTATCAGTGGGCGACTTTGGCTCGGAGAATGAAGCAGTCCTTGTTGTAGCTGGAGTCTGGCAAAGAAAAGGGAAAGATTTACAGGACAGGCTGACAGAGGTTACCAAAGAGCATGCATAGCATAGTTAGAAACAGTGGCTTCACCCCCAACGACGTCATAAGTTCATACAGCTAACACACACACACACACACACACACACACACACACAGAAACTATAGAGGCGCTAAACGAGCTTAAACTGTGTTTAAACACGTCACTCTCAATTGCATATAAAGTAAATAAATCCAATTTAGGTTACACCCTTTTGCTAGTCATGACCCTGCATTATGGAGACAACTACAGTATAAATACATGTCATTTTGAGCAATAACCCTTTTCTTCTCCTTTCTCAAACACTGAAATGTACTTGTGTGAACCACTTACTGTTTAACTTATAACAAAACCCCATCTAACATCTAATTTGTTTAAGAGAGTGGGCACTGACTGACACACCATCCGATATTGACCCAAGAATTAGTGAATAATTATACCGCTGCACTGTTGCTAGCATTGAGGAGAAAGTTGGCTGTATGGGCGTCCATCGGGGGCTGGTTAGGGATTGGTCGGTGGCCCAGTGCCATCCCAACAATGGCAGTCATATGGGTTTCAGTTCCAAACACATGAATGGGGATCCCTGTGGTCTTCCCTGCATAGAGAAGGGGGGGGGGAAAAAAAAAAAAACAAACAAAAAAAACCGCTCCTTAATCTAGATCCAAGGACTCGACTTGGATGTATACTTTAAGTCATGTATTTCACGAGTTAGGCCCGAGTATTAGTCCAGTCTTACTCACCTACTTCCCCCATCACCCTGAGTCCCTCTTGGTAGTTCGGACCGCCACGTCGAACAAAAATGGTGACCTCGTGTTCCTTCAGAGGGCCTTGGTAATCTTTAATGGCCCTGACAATGCCCTGAGGAAGGACAAGAGGATCAGCTTTGTTATGCACAAAAAGTACAAGTATATCAACCAGGAAGAGTGAAATTTTATTGAGACCATTTAATAATTCAAAGCATTAGTATGGCTCTCTACTCTGACCTGCCTTCAGATTTTAAAGTAATCTGAGAAAACATGTTAAGGCAGGTTAGGCTAACACTGCCTTAACATGTTTCTGGGCATAAATTAGGAACCAGTCTAGTTGGTGTATTGCATGTATGAGCATCTATGGGTATAAATGTTTTGATATTACACCTAACACAAATCTCTGCTAATTCAGGACTTGCTGAAAATACAGTGACATCATTCTTTCAAAGTTTAAGAAATTAAATATTGTGTATAAGCCCTTTTTTCTCTTTAAACATTACAGTGATTCTTTATAACTGTGCAGAAGATTTTCAGATAAATATCATAAATATCAGTGCGTTTCACCTTGAATGTGGCTGCTACGTTGGTGAAGTTTGCAATGCTTCCTCCAATGATCAGCACTTTCCCTGTAGGATAAGGAAAGGTGTTACGAAATGCTCATGACTGAAATTCAACACCCGAGTAACATACATGAAGTCTATTGCTGGCAACTCCCCACATAGTGAACAGTGTGTCACACCGAAGCAGCACAATTAGCTCACACAGCAGAGGAAGGATCCACCAAGTATTTCTACACTTCAAGGACACAGCAAACAAACGCAGACTTTATCTGACAGTTGTAGCTGCCTCCTCCCACCAGCTTTTCACCCCGTTCAGGAAAATAAGCTCTAATGTAATCAAGTCCAGGCTTCACCCACCTAGAGGATGTTTTTCACGTGTCATGAGAGACAAGATGGTTTTTGCGTAGTCGTAGGTCTGCTGTTCACTGGGTGCGCCTGAGTACTCGCCATAATTAGCCAGCTCGTCCACCCCACCCAGATCGCAGATGGTGTCGCTGAAGAAGAGAAATGATGCGATTCTATCAGCTGTAATTAACTTTAAAAAATATTAAGCTGGCAACAGAAAAGTCAAGCTGGGGTTTGTTAGAAAGCAAAACTTCAGTCTAACAAGCTTTGAAACTTCAAACCATAAAGGCAAAGAAGTGGTATAGAGTTCAAATGTATGCTGTATGTGATGGACTACCTGTAGACAACAGAAGCACCTCCTCCAGCCACCATGGTCCAGATCCTGCCTCGGGGATTCAGCAGGGTCAGCTTCAGACTTGCACCACTCTTTGCATCCAGATCAGCTATGTAGGCCTCCTACAAGTAACAAGACAGAGTGGTGAATACCAAACTGTGGTCAGTAAGTGCACAAGGATGGAGAAATGGACTGACCAATCATTGTACATATGAGTAGATCTAAGTTAAAGTCACATTTTAAATCAAATCAGTGAAAATTAAAGGATCCAGAGAACTATAAACAAACAGCCTGTCCAATTACAGCTCTTCAAATCTCACCTCAGGGTACGCCTCTCTGCCAAAGGGTGGAGGAAACTCAAGGTCCCCCCATTTAGCCTTGCAGATATAATCCGCTGTGCCATCAATCTTGGCTGCCATGTCAAGGACATATACTCCGTCTTGATTGACGACTGTGAAAAGGCAGAAATTTTGAGTTAATTTGTATGTTTTCCACCAATGAATTACTAACATAGCATGGTAGCAATCTAGATTTTTATTTATTTTTTTTTTTTTAAAATCAGCATTTTTGTTTCTGCAATACATAATGAGCAGAGTGTAATATTGCAGAATAAAAGAGCTTTACCAAGAGGGTTGATTTCAAGGTAGGTAAAGTAGAGGTCTTCATACAAGTTGAAGAGGCCGACTATAAAACTGGCCAAAACACTGTGAGAAGGGAAACAAAATTAGACTTAATCAGCACATAAGAGAACTTTTGTGAAGCTTTGTGTCTCACTAGGCAAGAACAAAATGGTAGAGTATTGCTAAGCAGCCACGCTGAATACTTAGAGCTTATCTTTTATGTTTCTTTCTAGTTTGTATTGTTTAAAAGAGATAAGAGTATTTACTTAGCACACTGCTAAGTTTACATAAAAGAAGCTAAACATTAGTCAAGGTCAAAACAGCAAAGGATAAAAGATTTTCTGAATACAGAGAGCCTCTTTGGTTAAGAAAGAAAATAAAAAGCAACAAGAAGGTGCGAAAAGTAAATATACTGCGATTTTACAGTTATTCCTGTATTATTTTCTATATTTCATTCAATATCTGGCTAATCACATCTCTGCTTAAATGTCTCTACTGTGTTTTAACAGAGAGCCTGATCACTAACTACTACTACTGTGAACTACTAAGTGATCCAATTAGGTTCAAAGCACAAAATGACTCAGAGTCAAATGTCACCATTTGTTTTATACTTAAAAATAATATTTAAATAATGAAATTTATATGTCTTTAAATAATAAAGACAATTTTAGAAAAAGGTTTCCGTACTCCTTCTTGTCGTCGGGAACTTGTGTAAGCAGTTGCTCTTTGACTAGGTCCTCAGTGAGCTTGCCATCCACTGGAACCATCAGCTTCTGGGCCTTGGCATCCACGTCACCCACCTCCACTCCTCCCTCGTGGTGGAAAAGCACGTGGTCGCCCTCACGTGTGGCATAGATGCATACATAAAACTCTTCCTCCTGAGTGAGTAAACAGGGAGTTCAGCCACATGCAAGGACACGCAAATACGTCTTTACTGATTTTGTTTGGAAATGCTGCGCAATATTTACATAAGGCCAACAAGTGGTTTCAACATTCAGTTCTCTGCGAGAAATTATTAAGAAAATCAACAAACTAATCAAATGCACACTGACCTACAGACAGAACACACATAACTTGGAGCTTGTTCTCACTTATAAGGTCCTAGATCGACTGGGTCAACCAGGAAGCACTGATCCTGGTTAAGTCATTCTACTCCTTTTCATTTTTCTGAGAGGATTTGATGAGAATGGCTGAGGCAACGGAGATCCCAGTCTGAGGAACTGATTCTTGTAGTTTGGTTTATTATTTATTACCACAACAACAACAACAACAACTTGACTTTCCACTGCAATTAAGTTTTATCAGACTTGGGTTTTATCAATTATTACTATATATTTAAAGAAGCACAGCACACCAAGGAAAAAAAACAAACAAACTCTCTAAAGTAGGTATGAAGGGTTTTCCTACAGACCAATTTTTTTAAAAAGGCCACAAGGTAATTTAATTAATCATCTGGGGGGAGGATAATCCAGGTCAGACATGACCCCAGCTGATGACCTGCCAACATCGTCAGCAGAAGCTCATCAGCTGATTTGTATAAGAATTTGATTCCCCTTTTCCTCTTTCAGTCTGACAGGATGCAGCAGTGTGCTTCATTTAAAATAAAGGAAGCTATTTTTTACAAATTCTTCTCACATCAGAGGTCCTGTGATGCAATACTTTCATTCTGCTCAGAATTCTTTGAGGGCAGCTGCAGGAAATATCACATTGGCTCTTAATACAAGGTGCAAAGTACACGTGTGAATTATACCCTATGATAGAAGTTTAAGGCTACCTCTACGAAAGTGTAAAGGGACACTAAAAGTTACCATTACACAATACTTTAAACTAAAAATAACCGTAACTTTTGAGCTTAACTATATATTGCTGTGACAACCTGGTTTGAACAGGGAAATTCAGAATGATACCAAATCTTAATTAAAATAAAAACATTTATGTAAATACAGGATCTGTCCTGCTGACAAGACACAAGACATGACAAGAAGGGATTAGCTGTGAAGTTGAGACCACAGAAACCGTAGACCATTCAGCAAATTCAAGTTACAACAGGAGAAATAACCACTGATGACACAAATTGAACTGCTCCACAAAACTTCTCCAAACTGAGGAGCTTAGAGAGTGTTAGACTGAAAGACAAGATACTGGCATACATCACCTGTGTGTGTGGGACAAATGGCTCAATGAGGAAGTTCTTCAGCACACCCTTTGCCTTTCCCACCTATTCAAGAAAAACACCTGGTCACAAACACTACACTGAGAGGAAAACTACATGTATTATATATTAAAGTGAAAGTAAAACTTTAAGAATAACATAAAAAAATGTAAATTGACCTGTCATTTACTAGGTCTTGTCATCGTTACAAACTACCTTCAAAGTTCTAGTTCATCCATTTCACATCCAAATAGCTTATTACGAGTAGAGAAGGGCAAATAATATCAAACAAAAACAGGCAGCAGCAGGGCAACTGAGGCAAAATCCTCCATGTGCTTCTCATATCAAAATGAGGATCCTTTGTGGTGTTTCAGAGACCAAATATAGTATTAATACTACAGTTTCTGTGAGGATTACTTTTTTAAATGTTGATTTATTTAAAGACT